ATTCATAGGAGAATTAATTAAAGTTTGAAGATCTGCATTTCATGAATCAGCTCTCTCGATTTCAATTAATTATTGTATTTTTCATGAAATTCCATTTACGCCACGCTGTCACTCAGTCCTGGCCTGGAAGAAAGCTGACAAATTATTTATGTTAATTATAGTTCCAGGGGGTGTCCCAGTTGTCGCTGACCATACTCCCAACTGTTGCCCATATCTTTTTGCCATTTTCCATTGCCATTTTTCCCCTTGCCATTTACCATTTTTCTCTTGTTTTTTAATTATTTCATTCGGACAGGGTTCATTTCTGTAAGTGGCCAAATTAAGGAATTATATGGAAACAATGGTCGGAACGGAATTAAATTTCATGCTTGGCCAATTGCAAGAATTTAAAAGTTTTCAACGTTTTCTCGACATCTCAGCGGATCTGTGTGCGTGTGTGTGTGTATACGGGCATTATGCAATAGCCACAATCCACAATTAGTTGTGCACTTAATCCGAGATGAAAACAGCACCCACAACCAACCACCCCAAAATGGCAGCCAACAGAGCAGAATGACACCCCGATTAGCACTCTCCTCCGCCCTTGGGGGGGGGGGCCATGCCACCCAATTTTCCCAACAATTTCCCACGGTGCCCATCAAGTTGCTTGCTAAATGTTGGGCAATTAGTCGGGCGGTGGCTGTTGTTTACTCCAAACTGAAAATGAAACGCAAAACGCCAAAACCAAAACCAAAAAGCGATTCGGAAACTTTAATCCTGATTATGTGCTGATTTATGTCCATCCTTAACCGATTCGCATATTAATCAGAACGAAATGAAGCCTCAAGGTTGTCTGGGCAGGCACAACTGATGGAAAAACAATACCGAAACTCTCTCGATGACTCTCGTTCGAGAAGGTGGTTTTTGCCAATCAGAAACAATATGGAAACTTTTCGGGCATTCGGGCCCCTCTCTCAGAACGCTTCCTCCATTGCTTAATTAATAAAGCCACTGTGCGTAATATTTGACTTTGATGGCAGCCCGTCAGCCATGGCCCAGGCACAGGACTCATAGAGAGGTCTCTGTCTGGGGCCGTGGCAGGTGTTTGTGTGCTAATGAATGAATATTCCTCGCCACCAACTCCTCAAAAGGGGTTCCCAAGGTTACTTTGGGGGGGGATTATTGTAATTGGAAACTTGCGTGGCGTGGCGAGGCGAGGCGAGGCGTTGAGGGGCACCAATTCTCAGAACTCGCTTGGACAAGATTGGAATGTGGCTTAAAGAGTTGCTAAAATGTGGAAACCTAGCAAGAGTATTAGGTTTATCTTCTTTGATATGCGAATATATGTAATATGTAACCCCAAAGTGTATGTCTTACTGGGAAAGAACAATGGCAAAGGGAAAAGCCCCATTCCATTCTAATCCATTTAATACATCAGTAACAAGGTTCTGCCCAATTTCCCCCATAAGCCTAATAACTGCAACTTCGCTTGCCCCATTCGACTTCACATTCGTTCAACCTACTTACGGGCTGACAAATGTGCCAATCGAATCGAATGTGCAACATCCACACCCTGATGCCTCGACCCTGCCTGCACTGCACGACTCAATCAAAAAGTTCGGGGGGCTTAGCTCCCAATCATCAGCATTTTGTGGGCCTATTTTTTGGGGAGTGCGGTGGGGGCTTTATTAAACGATTTTCCGCAAATAAATCAATGGCTCTTGCATTCTTTGAGCTGACTTCTGCCTCATAAATATCAAGAGTAATGCAAAATGTTGTCTACTCTTGGCGCTTGGCGCTTGGCCTGGCTTTCGTGACGTGTAAGCGGATTGGGGAAACTTCCGAGCTGCCAAACTGCAATTTGCCAAAACGACCCACAGCCCAACCCCCAACCCCCTGCCCAACACTGTTCCGCCCTGCCCTGCACTGCCCTGCCCCATTAAATGCATCAAGTCCAAGTCGGTGCACACAAATCCTTTTTGCCAGCTTGATTTATGGTTGCTGTCGTTGCCGGCTGGAAGGCGACCAATTGGGCCATCATTATGGAGGAGGAGGCAGTCCCATGCAATTTGTCAAACTTTTGCAGCTACAGTCACAACAGGAGTTAAATGAGCTGTGTAAGTCGAAGACATTCTAAGTAGCAATTATGCAATTACTTCCGGCCAGAGGAGGAGGGGACTTCACGGCCAGAAGCACTCGTAAAAATGTATTCACTTCAGATACGAGATACCCAGGCCATCAAACATGCTCTCTTTGGTTTATTTGGGCACCATTTTATGGGTCCAGATACATAGATAGACAGACGTTCGTGGCAATTGGATGCGAGACACTGATGAAGGATATACTCACAGTGAGTCGTAAACATGTTGCCCAGCGAAGTGCAATCAAAAGTCCGAGGCCCAGAGCAATCACAAATCAGCAACAGTTACTCCGACTGTAATATCTTGAACTAAACAAAGTACAGAGACCGCAACAATCACAGAGAAGACCTCAAAAGAATGCCTGACGCCTGGCAAATTAAATGTAAATTTGTTAAACATTCTTCAGCACATTCCTCTGCCAAGTCCCATCGATGGGTAGCAAAAGGGTCACAAAGTAAACATGCCTCTAAAAATACGCCTTACCTCTCGTGGGCTCTATAAAAATACAAGCAACACAAAAAAATATGTAAAAAAGAGAGGGCAAACAGTGGCTTAACATGGCCATTTGTCTAGGACCTGGGCTGGCAATAAAAAATGTTGTCTTGCTTTGTACACGAAAAAAAATGCCCTGGCCCCAGCCTGGCATACTTTCGGGCCAACAAGACGTGGCCCAAAACATTTGTGTTTACGTGGGCCGGCTATGACTGCGGCTCTCTTAGAGGAAGGAACGAACATGCAAAGTAGCTGCCGAAGCAGGCGGCAGGCACCTTTAGAACCCCACAAACAAGGACTATTGCCATTCGAGGCGGCAGACAAATTTCGTTGAGTACTCGAGTTTTTGTATAGTATTCCCTACAGAGCAAGGGCAATGACAGCTTTGATAGCACTGGGAATTTCTAGCATCGATAATTATCGAGATTCATCGATTATTATAGCGATTTTTGATAGAAGTGTGCATAAAAGATTGATTTGAGGAATCAAATGAATGAGATATTAAAGTGAAACTGAACTTTTTGGAACGATTTATTTTTATATGATCGATAAAACTCACCTGTAAGATATATGTATCGATAACAGCTATAATAGGATATTCGATATTAGCATTGATATGTTCTTAGGGATGTACATCCCGTGAGTCGTGAATATATCCTCATTATTGCCCAGAAGATCGCTTTCTTATATATGGTTTACCTATAAAGGGTATTCATGTACCCGCTTTGAAAGCACACCCTCTCTGCCTTCTGCTCTCTGCCTGCTGCTTGCTGTTTAATATTGTTGCCGCTCTCAAGAAGCAGTTTGGAGCATTTGCGGTCTACTCTCTGAGGTGTTCTACAAGCCGAGCACGTCTCTGCTCTGCGGGTTGCGGTAGAATGCGAGGGAGGGTCCTGCAGGGTCCATGCAGTTTTGGGAGAGCTGGGAGTGGGCTCTGTCCATGGAGTGGCTGCTCTACATGAAGGCTTGGAGTGAATGGGTCTTCTACATGCAGATGCAGGTTGAAAAGTGCACTGGCAGTTGGACTTTTCGCCATGGCTGGTGTTTGTTTAAGGATTGCCTTGCCTTGCCCTGCCCTGCCCTGCCCTGCCTTGTCTTGACTTGACTTAGGGAAAGTGAGGGCTCAAGCAGCTAAGCGGCTTTCGTCCAAATGCTAAAAGTTTTTCCCCAGCCAGGCGTGGAAATTTGTTGAGCATATTTTCAGGAGTGGATAATTAGGGACATGCCTTTTCTGCCATGCCACGCTTCTGGCTCTCTGCACAAACAGTCCTTGGCCTTAGAAGGAAGTCCCACTTTGGCTTGGGCTTGGGCTTGGGCTGAATGTCAATGCGGTTGGCAATAAATTTCACTATTTCACTGACACTGCACTTTTGCTAAATGACACGGGGCTTAGCCACCAAAGACTTTTGCTTTCTTTTGCAAGCCCCCGACCGCGAACCGCGAACCGCTTTCTGCTTAGCGTTCAGCCAAGGTTTATTGAAATTTTGTGCATTTCTTGCATTATTCCATTGTTTGGGGGCGTGCCTCACATATGAGTCTTCCTCCAAAAAAGGAGGAAACTAAAAGTTTTCCCTGTCTCTGGATTGTCAGCTGCCTGCGGTCGGGTTTGGGGGCCTTCATCTCTCTCGTTTGGCTTGTGGCTAGATTTGAAAACTTTTATTTAACATGTGTGGTAACATTTTCCGGAGGTTTTCCGCTTTGCCAGTTATACATTCCCATACATTAATCCTGCCCGATGCCACAAAAAAGTTTCTCGTTTCGCTAGAAACTCTTCGACAAATTACAGCTCAAGTGGCGGAGAATGATGACAGCGATTGAAGGTCACATATGTGTGGAAAGTACACTTTCTTCACCATTATTAAAACTAATAAAAACAATCAAGTGAAGTGTTCTTTCCAAATTAGATAGTAAAAACACGATAGATCATTGATACCTAGAGATTTATGTCATTATAGACATCTTTTGACATTCCATGTGGGGATTAGATGATGCAAAATATTAGCTTATAGATTTTCTTATGGATTACCTTACACTGAGGGACAAAGGGATACTTTAAGAGAGTTTCCAAACCCCAAAGAACCTTAGGAGCTAGACGATGAACTCCCGAAAGTCTTTTCCCAGTGTAGAAAGCTTTCCATTCAGCTCACGCACCAGGTCCCATGTCAAACCTTAACCGAACTGTCAGCTGACGTCCACAACAGACAGCGCAGCAACACACCTGACAGCACCTGATGGTATGCTCCTGCCCCAGCACCCGACCCACCTGGAAGGTAGAGGAAAATCTGTGCCAGCGATTTACGAGCCAGTCCCTGCCACGGGGTGTGTAGACCCCTTGAGAATCTCTAGGGGGATGGAAGTATTGGGCGAACCTCAGAAGGCCACTCGAAATGGTTTACAATGCTCTCTCAGTTTATTCAGTGTTTGAGTGAAAGTGTGCTAATAGTTTTGTGTAAATAAGGTCCATTGGAGTGTACAATTTCTTAGAATCAAACGCGTTAGCCATTTCTAGAGTCTGGTTTTCTTGGAATTTGGTTATGTTTCGTGTTTACCATTTTAGTCGAGTGTCAGTTAGAGTAAAAGTGTAAATGAGTGTAATTTTCTCGTACACTTTTACTTTTTCTTGTCCTTACTGTCCTTCTTGTCCTTCTTTCCGCCACTGCCCGGTGGACAGGAGCTCAGATAACCGCCACTCATCATGCGCTCAAAGGCATCCATCGGATCGTAGTGGGAGTAGAAGGTCTTGTACTTGGCCTTGCGCGGCGCATTATGAAAAACGTAGAGACCAATCGGTGCAATCAATGCCAGCACACAGGCCACCTTCAAGTTTCGCAATGATTTTTTCAGATGCGTATCGTGCATTGGGAACTTAAAGACAGGCTTTGACTGAAAAATACATTCAAGAAATTATTTTTTTTTTATCAAATAATTTCTGAATGTTTTGATTTTGTTTTCTCACCGCTTGCCCCATTTTGCCGATTTTTGTATTATAAAAATCCAAAATAAAGGTCTTGATTCGTCAACAGCTCGTACAGAAATGGAATGAAATTTATTTTCCAGTTGCAAAGTAAGTAAATGCAAAGTCACCGACTACTTGGTCAAATGAAAATCCGACTAAACCTTAGAAAATATTTCAAACAGTGCTGGTAAATGATTTTGCACTTGAACTTTACAACACTACTTGTAACCTAGACTAGTCTTAATAGCTGAATGGCGTTAGACTTTGCGAACTGACTATCTGGAAAAACATAGACAGCCTTATGGGAGAAGCACTGCGAATGATATGAATGTTTTTTTTTGTTGGAAAACATAATTTTTCACAAATAGTACTTCAGTTACTCGACTAGATGTCTACGAACACTAATTTTGAGGTTTGTCTTAAGCAAAGTCTTATGTCATCTTATCCTTTAAAAGTACTAGATTTCGAACTGAAGAACTTACATTTTAAATTGCTTAAGCATTCGGTATATTGCTTTAAGATTTCTTAAAGTTAATTTAAATTAACAAATTAGAAAATCTTACAAAAATGTCAGCTTTTTATGTCCTTTCTTGACAACTGCCTTTCCTCTCAGAATAACACAAAAAAATGTCTTGTCAAAAAGTCAATTAAGTCGGTGCTTTTCCCCAATACAAGAAAATTCAATTAAACGAAAAGAAATGAATTAATTTGATGGCCTTGCCATATGGGGCTTTGCAGGGGCACAGACTGAAAAGGGTTCCTCCTGAAATACACAATAAACTGACTACTGACTTTTACCCTGCTATTATCCCAGCTAAAAGTACTCCCTGCGTGACTGACGACTGACTTTTGGCAAAAGTTTAGGGATATTTGCTTTTGAGCCCCTTTGTACTGCCTCTGTGGTAGGAACCTTTGGACAATGTCCAGACACGGCCAACAAACATTTTTACAACCCAAAGTGGGCGTGGGGGGTGGGGGGGTGGACTGGGCTGGAGACTGGGACGTCCGTGTAAGCTATTTTTAAAGAGGCCTCGTCTGCCCCGTGGCAACTTATTGGCATTGCCAGAACTCGAATCCAGACTCCGTTAAGGCCAAAGGCCAAAGCCAATCTGTCAGTCGGACACTCAGCTGCGGTTACACTAATTTCATTTGGTTTCTTCATCCACTTCATTCATCAAACTTAGATGTGGCTAAGTATCTTTGATCAATGCTGATGAATGCTGAAAGTATATTTAACGAATGTTACAAATGACGAAGAAACGGGTTGTGTTCGAAAAGCAATTCTTTGTAGGTCATTGAAGTCCTTCCTTCTTTCTATTCATCTGAGTTTATTGTAGCTTTTAACGCCTCAATATGTTGGTTTTCTTCAATTTCTTTTTACACCGCAGTGTTTTCGTGTTTATTTCAGCTTTTGATTCAGGTTGCAATGTGCAACCAAGTGCAAAGACCTAAAAATAAAATAAAAAGAAAGCCCCAAACCTGTTGCACCCACTGCTAATCAGGGCACAAACATCCTTTCGCCTCCAGTTTACGATTGTGGTAACAGCTTCTCATTCTGTGGTCACACATTGATGGCGGGGAGAAGTCCCCTCTCTCTGTGCTTGCGGACCTCTTGGTCCTTTGCTTTCATAAGAGGGATACAAATAGCTCCTTCTTCAGTTGGAGTGCAGAGAAAAAAAATCATCTGCTTCTGTGGTTTCCATCTGTGCATCAGAATTAGTTCATAGAATGAATGGTGGATGGGGCTCAAGTTTGTTTGCTTTTCTGGTCTCAATGCGGGTAATTATGCAGTGGCAGTGGCAGTGGCAGTGGCAGTGGCAGTGCTGGGTCACCCCGAGAATCAATTATTGACTCCACATGTTGTACCATAATTACACGAGAGCAAGACATGCTAATTGGCTCGAAATGGTGGCGGATAGGATGCGGCCAAGACTACGGTCTACGGAGGAGTCGTGTCGCTGATTGCCAATATATTCGCTGGTCAAGGGCACAAGGATGTGTGAATGCTGCTTCATTAAGGCTATGCAGATGTACACGGATTGTGTTTGCGGCCGTGTTGACTCTTGACTGATTGCAGGCACGGATACATGACATTTGACACTTTGAAGGGGTCAAATTCAAGGAGTTCCTGCTTATTCTCTATTGGTTATGTTGGAGACAAAAGGAATTATGGGAAAAGTAGAGTATGGGATATCTGAGGGATTCTCTCTGAATATTCTTTCTTTATTCAACAAGAAAATTGACTTCCCCGAAATTCCTTTAGCGCCAATCACAACCCGTTCCCACATAATCTGTGAACCCTTTTAGGGCATGGCATCTTTTTCCATGGCCCATTTCAAGACGCTTACCAAAACGTGACAAATTCCACTTGGTATGCAAATTCAAGACATTTTCTTTCAATTCCTGTCAACTTTAACGATTTGTCCCTTGTTCGACTTAAAATTTAAGCCACATGACAAATGCACTGCGAAAAAGTGCCACTAAATTGAACAGAGAACACCCCGAAACGTGTTGTTAGTTGCGTTTTTCTTCCCTCAGTGTACTATTCCCTTCTGTCTGTCGCTGTCGCTGTCTGTGTTTTTGTTTTTTTTGTTTTTTTTTGCTTGGGGAACAGCAGCACCTGGAGCAGTACCTAATTGCTGGCTGGGAATTCCGTAGAAAACAAAATGTTCTTTGAATTGTATTTTACGGAGTTGATGTTCGTTTTGCGAAAAGTTTTCGCTTGGGACTCTGGAACTCTGGAACTCTGGATTTGCATTTGGCAATTAAATTACCAGGCTAACCACTTGGCAAAAATACGTTTTGAGCGTTGACTTTTTACTTTTCTCCGACTGTCGACCACTGCCCACTGACCATTCAACTTTGACCGGACGCGAACGCTTTTAAAATCACGTTGCATAGGCAGCATTGGTGCATTGAACTGTCGCCCAGGTTTGATTCTCCGGGGGCCGCCGCAAAGCGAGAGACAATTTCAATATGTTGTGTGCCGGATGGCGTTGAAGGCGATTATAAATATAAGCTCTGTTGCCCTCTCAGCGCCCACCCACTGCCAATGCCAATGGCTTGACAAAGGCAAAATGGCTTGCATACTCGTGGGCGTCTTCTATCTGTCGAGAGAGATAGAGAGTCTATATATCTTGGCTATCGCATGTCGAGAAACTTTCAAGTGTCTTTTGGCCCAAACAGATCCAATGAAATTTGAGTAGAATTTTGAACTTTTAATGCTTCACCGCCTACACACACACTGTGCACCGTTTAGATTGGGCAAACGTTTCGATTTCCAAAATGGTTAACGCACATAAGAAAAAAAAAAACTTTTCGCTTCACTTCAATTTATTTCATTGGCAACACGAAACTCAGAGAATGGTCCAAAATGATTGCGAGAGTGAGGGGTGGATGGAAAAGCAATAAATTTAATTTGAAAAACTTTTCAAGATTTAAAGGTACTTTTAGTAGTCATGGAATTGTGATTTAAATATTACAATGTTTTTTTTATAGACGACTTTTAATCCGGAGTGTCAGATACTCAATGTTCTATTGATTGATTAAATAAATCAAATCAACTCTACGCAAAAAAATATAATTATAAGGGAAGCTATTGTTTTTAGGTAATTTATTTATTTATTTTTATAAATTACATATATAAGAGAGTTCCATTTGCAACGGACGTGTCTGGTTACACAACCTGAATCTAATATAATAGCATGCAAAATTATAAATGTCGCGCCTATCAGGCTGGATGTATAAAAGCACTGCATGTTGCTAAAAAATATTCAAGCTGTTGTATTATCCCAACTGTTGAGCATCGTCATGAGGGCCCTCTTGATTCTTTCCTTAATCGGTGAGTTTTAGAGCGTGAATTTTGTAATTTAGTTCATTATTTTCTCTTTAAGCGTTGTCCACGTCAACTCTTATTAAAAAGTGCTCAGATCCAGCATGTACCCTGGAGTACAGTCCTGTTTGTGGGACGGATGAAAAGGGTGAGGAACATGTCTTTGGTAACAGATGTTTTTTCAAAGGTGCTAACTGCATGCGTAAGGAATCAGGGTTGCCACGTAAGACTAAAAAATAACAGTTTTTAGAAACGATTCAAATCAATCTCATTTTACAGCTTTAAAACTTAAATTTTTTGGTTGCTCTTCCGCAAAAATATTATAATGCTATAAATATCTGTGGGGATATGGGAGTTGTAAAATGAAATATATGTAAATACGACTCTGATCTTTGCATTCTATTTATTTTACACCTTCTACAATTTGCACATATTTAGATACGGAGCTCGTTTGCATGGGGAAATCATTGAACATCGGATTGAAGTGATAATACCCTCAGCAAGGGGCGGGGCTGGTTACACAACCTGAATCTAATATAATAGCATGACAAATTATAAATGTTGCGCCTATCAGGATGGATGTATAAAAGCACTGTATGTCGTTAAAAAATATTCAAGTTGTTGTAGTTTCAGAACCGTCAACTGTTCAGAACCGTCATGAGGGCCTTCTTGATGCTTTCCCTAATCGGTGATTTTCAGAGTGTGAATTTTGGAATTTTGCTAACTTTTTATTTATTTTATTTTTCTCTATAAGCTTTGTCCTCATCAATCGATACTAAAAGTTGCTTTAGTCCAAGGTGTACTTTTGAGTACAGTCCTGTTTGTGCGGTGGATGAAAAGGGGGTGGAACATCCCTTTGGGAACCGTTGCTATTTCGAAAATGCTAATTGCAGGCGTGAGGAAAAGCATTTGCCTAGTAAGACAAAAAAGGAGAAGTTTGTGAAAGTTGTTTAAATTAATCTAATTTTACAGCACTGAAAATTAGTTTTATGGATTGCCTCCCTGGAAAGGGACTATAACGTTCTAAATATTTGTGGGGATATGGGACTTATAAAATTAAATATATCTTAATACGACTCTGATCGTTGGATTTTAATTAATTTAATTAATTCCGTCTACAATCTGTTCACATTTATGGCTAGATCACAGAAATACGAATGTGTATTACTTTTCGAAAGACACCTCTCCGTTGAAAAGATATTTGATTTATTTTTAGTTTGATTGATTTTAATTTTCTCCATGTATTATCAAAATTAGAAATAAGAGTGATCTCTGATTTTAATAAAAAATCAGTATTTTTAATTTGAATAAAAAAAGACAGAATCCCCCCGATCCCTGGAGAAATATACATACATACATAAATATGCCATTATTTACTTGAATAATCGATTGCTTAATCGATTATTCGACTGATTTTTGCTTTACGCACTGCTTCGTTGTTTTTTGTTCGGTTCTTTGCACTGCCTTAATATTATGAAGAGGCCCTTCTTCTTTGCAAGAATTCTGTTCTAAACGCTTGTTTCATTCACCAAGTGCTGAGTAATACCAAGGAATAATCAACGTTTTGGCCTTCCTCCTCCAGCGCCATTAACTCCGTCAGTCACTGGTCTGGCGTTCTCCACAAAGTATGATTGGACATTTTCATGCACTTGGCAGAGTTAAAGTTGATGAAATATTCTTAGCACAAGACATTTTTGGCACGAATAGACGACATTGCATGCAAAGAACAGGAGTAACTATAGCTCAGTGAACTCTCCCTCATCTATCTCCTGGCGGCCACTGAACCACAATGCCATCAGGCACTTGACGTTGTCTTGTCATTATTATCTATTAGTTATGGCCCCCACCAGAGCCGAGGGCAGGGCACAGGGCACAGGGCCCCACACTTCCCATTTGCTAATTGTAAGTTATTGACACGAAACGTGCCCTGGGCTGGCGACGATGACGGCGGATTCTTACCACGCCCACCTGTAGCCTGCGGCCCCTACAGGAGGCGCCCTTTAAGGACTGTAATTACAAACTTCCGCCGGCTATTGGCAGTGCCAAAGGATGCCCTACCGTGTGGGCAGTACGCGCTTTCTTTCTTCCCTCTGTGCCGGCTTCCTTATTAATACATCAACATAATTGAATTATAAATGCTTTGCTATACTCAAATATTGAACTTGCCCCGAGAAAAAGGGGGAGAAAAGTGGCTAGAAAATTGACGAAAAGTTTGCCTAAAGGAAACCCAAATAGGGTTTTTGGCCCACTTGAAATTCATGACTCATGTTTGAGTTGCCCTTTCATGAGCTGCAAATACGAGAACATCCCCACTAATTGGTGTCTTGTATGGCATATCAATTATCTTCGGAACTTTTTAAAAGGTTCGCCATTTGTCGGATTAGCCAATCTGTAAGACACAATTAATTTGAGGCACTGGGCTGTCCATCAGGCATCTTCCATTGCTGCCAAACTCTTTTTACCGATGAGAACCTGCACTCCTTTTTCCCGGCAAATTGCCTGTGGGCCTCACGCTTTAAAAGGGTCATAAAGCCTGTCATTTCATTTGGCATGCAACGCGCCAAGTCCACCAGGACAGGGGCTTTGTTGGCAACCGACAAGATCGTGCAATTTCCGCTTCAGTGTTTGACTTCATGCCCATATCGCTTCATCGATATCCGTGTAGCAGCACCACATGTATTCGTATTCGTATTCGTAGCCGACTCCAGGCAAAACAATGAATAAACGGCCCAGACCTGGCCAGAACAGCCCGTGACTCTTGGCTGAAGCTTCAATTTTTTTCGAGCCCATATTTCTGTTTCTATTTCTGGCATTTGGGTATTTTGTAGCTGTCTTTAAAGTTCGGTATTTATTTTGAATATCCCCGAAAAGCAAGGCGACTTTTGTCTGCTTCAAGTCTGACGAATGGCATGGCTCAATGAAGACTAACAGGGCTGCAGCTTACATGGTTTACAGCTTTTGAATGTGAACTAAATGACAAGAAAATATGTAGTCTTTTAGCAAGAAACTAAAGTAGTAAAGATAAAATTTACTCTAACAATTTATGGACTCCATTATAGACTCGATTTTGCCATCCCTGATCCCCGAATTGGCTTACTTCATTGCCTGCCTGCCAGACTGTTACCATCTGTTTGTTCTGTCAGTCCTGTAGCTGTCGTTGTTCCCAACGCATTAATGTGAGAAATTGGCCACATTTGGCTAAACGTTCATGCCCCTCTGTCTCTTTCTGGGACACGCCCCTCGCTGTGGATAATGTTGTCAACCCCAAAAACGACTGATTGAGCACTTGAAAGTGTTGTGCCATTTCGAATGACTTGTAGTGTGTCTGGTTCTGGGATGTAATTAAATAAATCAGCCCTGAAGAGCAAACAACTGCCAGGGATATCGAATGAATTTTAAACATTTTTTAAAGATGCTTAATTCATGACCAGAGTTCTATAAATGTTAAATAGATTCTTAAGATCACGTATGAGCCTAATTTGATGTTGCAAAGGGCAGAGGGTGACCCTAATGTGTCCAGAGCTCCAAGTATGAATGCGAATACAAATATATGTACTACATACCCACATTTTGTATGTCTTGTGTGTGAAGCCTGAACAAAGAAACTATCTCACAGACACACTCACAGACTGTTGCTGGCAGTGTTATCTATCTGAACGAGTGTGCCTCTGTGCCTCTGCTTGTTGGTTGGTGAGCTTTATGCCCCATTGCCGGCATCGCCATTCCGCCAAAGGGTTCATTACACTTTCCAGGGCACAACATCAAAGCCAATGAACGTATAAAATGCAAGTGTACCACAGAAGGTAGCATCCACAGAAAGGGAAGAGAAAGAAAGATGGATAGATAGAGAGCTGGAGAGAAGGAGAGAATATATGGCAACTGCAACAGCGGCAAAAATGGCAAAGCAAGCAAACACAGCAAACGAACAGCAAATTCCCAACAAAAGCCAAAGAGTCAAAGCAAAATGAAAGCAAACGTGACACATGACATTGGCCACGGTACAAATTGTGTTGGCGATGGGCGATGGGCGATGCCAATGCGCCGCAAAGTATGCAAAGCATCAGGGGTTGATGTGCATAAAATACCCCCCCTGCGGAAAATACCCGTAAGAAAGAAGCTTGCCTTCGAAGCCTTGGATAATCTTTGCAAACGGACGACTACTATGGCAGGTACTAATAACCTCCGCAGGGGTAAATCTCCGCCTTTGGTTATATGGAAAATTCTAGATTTTCGACATTCACTGCATGACTTGCATGATGCTGAAGACATTCATGCTATTCTTATGTCCCAACTGTTAAGCAACGCCACGAGGGTCCTCTTTATTCTTTCACTAATTTTTAGTAAGTTTTCCCTCTTATTTTCAAGCAATGGCCACGTCAAGACCAAGTCGAAAATTCTTTTATTTAAATCTTCCTACAAAAGAGAACCCACGGTGTGCGATTACTGGTTTCAAAGCTACGCTTTTTATGTTAAAAGAAATGATAAACAAAAATACTAACTCCCATTTCAAAGCAATTAAGAAAATTATCAGAGGGAAGTGCCCTGAAAAATAATAAATTTTTTTGTCAATCACAAAATATATTACAATTTGAAGGCTGTTCTTTTAGGATGGCATATCATACCCTTTATGGACGATATAGGTATTTGTTAGCCGTCAAATAAATACAAAAATAAAACACTTATGGTCTATATATTTGTGGGTATAATGGGTGTGGTAAATCCCTAAATGGTACTATAGTCTCTGGATTTGATATGTATATGTAGTTCCCATTTAGGGAAGGGGTCGTTTGTATAACAAAAAATACAAACATCTGATCGAAGTGTTAATACCGTCTGCATTATTCAAGTACATGGAAATTGGTTCTTTTTAATTCTAATGTTTTTTGGCATGGTGGACGTTGTTCCGGAAATTCCTATTTCTGGTTATACAATCTGAAACTAATGTAATGGCCTGCAAAATTCGAAAGTTTGCGCCTATCAGGCTGGATGTATAAAAGCACTGTATGCTGCTTAAAAATTTGTATACTGTTGTAATAGCCCTACTTCTAAGCATCGTCATGAGAGTCTTCTTGATTTTGTTCCTAATCGGTGAGTAAAACTCAGCGTGAATTTTTGCAGTTTTAATAACTTCTCTCTATATTTTAAGCTATGGCCTTAGACGAGATTAAATTTGATAAAAAAGTAAAGCTAAAAATAAAGAGCTAAAATCAACTCTGGCCTTTAGACCGTATACCTCATTTTGCGGTTGATGAAAATGGTGGTACATGCGGACTGCAGCCGTAAGTGAGCAAATTTGCCACGTAAGCTTGAAAAAATAAAACAGCTTGTCAAAAATATATAAATCAATCTCAATTCACAGCAGTCGTAATATTTATCAATGACAATTGCTCTTATTAAGGCATGGTTGTAATACATACAATATCGCATGTATTTAAATATCTAAATATCTGGGGGCATGGGAGGTGTAAATGAAATACATCTAAATACGACTCTGATCTTTAGACTCTATTTAAGTTACACCGCCCATCTGATCCAAGTGATAATACCCTCTGCAGGGAAACTAATAACTAACTAACTGAAACTAATAAAATGGCATGCAAAATTATAAATGTTGCGCCTATCAGTCTGGATGTATAAAAGCACTGCATGTCGCTAAAAAATATTCAAGTTGTTGTATTTTCCCAACTGTTGAGAATCGTCATGAGGGCCCTCTTGATTCTGTCCCTAATTGGTGAGTTTCAGAGCGTGAATTTTGGAATTTTGCTAATTTTGTATTTATTTTATTTTTCTCTATAAGCTTTGTCCACGTCAATCGATACTAGAAGTTGCATTAGTAAAAGTTGTACCGCTGAGTACAGTCCTGTTTGTGCGACGGATGAAAAGGCTGAGAAACATTTCTTTGGTAACAGTTGCCCTTTCAAAAATGCTAACTGCAGGCGTAAGGAATCAGGGTTGCCACGTAAGAGTAAAACAGAACAGTTTGTAGAAACAATTTAAATCAATCTCATTTTACAGCTCTGAAAATTATAGCTGGGGATTGCCATCCCACAAAAAGACAATAATGTTATAAATATCTGTGGGGATATTGGTGTTGTAAAATGAAATATATGTATTTAATTTACACCTTCCACAATTTGCACCCATTTAGGGAAGGAGCTCGTTTGCATGGGAAAATCATTAAACATCGGATCGAAATGATAATACCCTCAGCAAGGGGCGGGGCTGGTTACACAACCTGAATCTAATATAATAGCATGCAAAATTATAAATGTCGCGCCTATCAGGCTGGATGTATAAAAGCACTGCATGTTGCTAAAAAATATTCAAGTTGTTGTATTTTCCCAACTGTTCTGAATCGTCATGAGGGCCCTCTTGATTCTTTCCTTAATCGGTGAGTTTTAGAGCGTGAATTTTTGAATTTAGTTCATTTTTTTCTCTTTAAGCGTTGTCCACGTCAACTTCTATTAAAAGTTGCTTAATTCCAAAGTGTACCCTGGAGTACAGCCCTGTTTGTGCGACGGATGAAAACGGTGAGGAACATGTGTATGGTAACAGATGCGCTTTCAAAACTGCCACCTGCTTGCGTAAGGAATCAGGGTTGCCACGTAAGACTACAAAAGAACAGTTTGTAGAAACGATTTAAATCAATCTCATTTTACAGCTTTAAAACGTAATATTTTTGGTTGCCCTTCCGGAAAAAGATTATAATGTTATAAATATCTGTGGGGATATGGGAATTATAAAATTAAACATATTTAAATACGACTCTGAGCTTTGAATTCTATTTATTTTACACCTTCCACAATTTGCCCATATTTAGATAAGGAGCTCGTTTGCATGGGGAAATCATTGAACATCGGATTGAAGTGATAATACCCTCTGCAAGGGGCGGGGCTGGTTACACAACCTGAATCTAATATAATAGCATGCAAAATTATAAATGTCGCGCCTATCAGGCTGGATGTATAAAAGCACTGCATGTTGCTAAAAAATATTCAAGCTGTTGTATTATCCCAACTGTTGAGCATCGTCATGAGGGCCCTCTTGATTCTTTCCTTAATCGGTGAGTTTTAGAGCGTGAATTTTGTAATTTAGTTCATTATTTTCTCTTTAAGCGTTGTCCACGTCAACTCTTATTAAAAGTTGCGCAACTCCATTATGTACCCTGGAGTACAGTCCTACTTGTGCGACGGATGAAAAGGGTGAGAAATATTTCTTTGGTAACAAATGCGGTTTAAAAAATGCTAACTGCAGGCGTAAGGATTCAGGGTTGCCACGTAAGACTAAAAAAGAACAGTTTGCAGAAACGATTTAAATCAATCTCATTTTACAGCTTTGAAACGTACTTTTGATGATTGCCCTCCCCAAAAAAAACAACACATAATGTTATAAATATCTGTGGTTATATGGGAGTTGTAAAATGAAATATATCTAAATACGACTCTGATCTTTGGAAGCTTATTAATTTACACCGACCAAAATTTTGCACATATTTAGATATGGAGCTCGTTTGCATGGGGAAATCATTGAACATCGGATCGAAGTGATAATACCCTTTGCAAGGGGCGTGTCTGGTTACACAACCTGAATCTAATATAATAGCATGCAAAATTATTAATGTCGCGCCTATCAGGCTGGATGTATAAAAGCACTGTATTTTGTTAAAAAATATTCAAGTTGTTGCATTATCCCAACTGTTCAGAATCGTCATGACGGTCTTCTTGATGCTTTCCTTAATCGGTGAGTTTCAGAGCGTGAATTTTGGAATTCTCTAATGGAATTTCTCTATAAGCTTTGTCCACATCAATCGATACAAGAAGTTGCTTTAGTGCAAGGTGTACTTCTGAGTTTAGTCCTGTTTGTGCCGTGGATGGAGGGCGTGAGGAACATCCCTTTCGGAACCGTTGCTATTTCGAAAATGATGATTGCAGGCGTAAGGAAGCAGGGCTGCCACGTAAGACTAAAAAAGAACAGGTTGTAATAACGATTTAAATCAATCTCATTTTACAGCTTGGCAAATGATTGCTGGGAAATGCCAGAATGCCAGAAGAATACTGAAAATTTAGAAGAAATTCGTTTTCTAAACGAAAATCACCGAAAACTTTGGGTGGCTGTAATTTAATTATTAATTATTATAGATGGAAGGTCACGCAAAAAAGACTATGTTATAGATATCTGTGGAATATGGGTGTTGTAAAATGAAATATATCTAAATAGTACAAGATTTAAAATTTCGGAGGCTGAGTCCAATATAATTTTACACTTATCAAATTGTATGGATATTTTCTGCTGTACATTTTTGACCGCCTTATGTTTTATATATTTCTAGAATTCGTATTTAATCTATTTCAAATACTATTTGTCTAGAAAAACCATCTTTTGATTGAGAAACCTCATTCCACGATTGATTAGGATTATCTACACTTGAAGTGGGGTCGGAAATATTTTGTACAAGGTCTGTTGAAAATCAAAGTACCCGTACCACCTGCCTCATCTTAACTTCGTTGACTGGCCCTGAGAAAAGTCTTGGCAGCGAAAAGAAATGGAAGCAAATGGCTTGTATAATTGTCTTTGCCTGTGAATATTTCGGCGTTCTCCCCATCACCACCCCACTTTACGGCCACTTATCCGCCTCTCAAGGTCGTGTTTGTTCGATTTGCACATGCCCCTCGACACGTACACGAAAATCGGCTGTCCGGCCGATAATCTTTCATGCTTTCACGCTCTGAGCTGTCATTATTCATTAGACGGCTGGCTGGGTGGCTGGCTGGTTGGTCCGATCTGGAAGTGTTCCATAAGATTTGCTAACGTGCCAGAGTGGTGGCCCAACAGGCCAACACTTCTTCTTGGTTGTTGCTACGGCTTGGCGCTGCTGCTGGTAATTAGAGAGAAAATACAAAGGCTTAACGCCACTTGAAGGAGGTTCCAGAATGGGGTTTCTTTAGCGTTTCACCTTCTGAAACTTCTTCGCCATCTGGGCTGGGGTTGATCCAAGTAGAAAGCGAAGAGAAAGTGCTGCCTGGAACACAACCAATTGATATGATTCTATGACAAAACACATAGTTAAGTCGTGAAGGGCTACAGCTCTGGCTCTGACTTCATCTTTTTTTCTAGCTGGTCCTAAGTCTTTACGGTCTTTACGGCTCTCGGAGTTTATAGTGGGGAAGCATTTGATTAAATTTGTACGCTTATGTGGCACAGTCGTAAAATGAGTTATTTGTGGGCCCAACAATGCTGGGCAAATATATATTCTTTTGATAAACAAAATGCTTAAAGCTGATGTTATTCCAAAATGAATGTTTATTAAACGACGAGCCCTGAATTTATGGGCGCAGATTTAAAATGCATGGGTCTTCGGGCGTTGTTGTTCGCTATAAAATATGCTCTGAATTTATGCAATTTTCATATGAAAATTCATCAATCAGTCAGCCCTTGGGTGGAGTGTGTGGTTAGCCAGGGATGTGGCTGCGCTTCCTGTTCAAACGGCTAAAAATGTTGCCGGCCCCGGAAGAAGTGTTGCCCAACTTCCGGCATGGATATGGGAAAAGTTTTGTATATTTTACTGTATGCTCTTGAGAGCTAAGAATATTCTGTGTTGTTTGTTTTACGCTAACGAAAAGGTTTTCTAGCATCACAGAGCTCTTTTTTATATATTTCTCCAGAGTTTGATTGATTTATTAGCTGGCTGTCCCGCTGGTCACGACATTTATTCAGCTTCCTCCCTGGCTTCCAAAATGCATTGATGATTCTTGTGAGTGTTGCCAAATGCTGAAGCAAAAATCAATTAAATTTCAATGGAATTGTGGACTGGTGTGTACCCACCCACACACATGTGGCAAGGAAGGGGAAGGAGCAGTTTATATAAATTCTTTGCCCGTTGCGCCATGCTGTGACACAAAATTAAATTTGCATCCGAAGCATCCAGTGGGAACTTTTTATCTGTCCGCTGGTTGGCTGCCTCTTTCCTAAGCCCAATGTACACATACTTAAATTATTTACCAAAAGCTTGCCTTCGAGTACTCCCCCGTACAGCGCCATGTGGCAGCGACTTATGACTACTTTTCCACTTGAACTTGGCCGTGGAACGAACGATTTAAGTTGCAGTTCGATTTTTGTTCTGTTTGTCTCTCTGGCGCAAATTCAGGAAAAGAATTTCGAGAGAGGAGTCTCAAAAGTTTTGCAGAGGATGGCAGACAACAAGCCCAGAGAAAAGAAAAGACTACCCTCCGTTGGAGCCCACGAAGAAGCTTGCCTTGTCTTTTGGTTGGTTTGCGGCTTAGCCCCTGACAAAAATTGTTGCCAATTCGTTACGATCCCAACTCTAAACATATGCACAGTGCTGCAGCCTCGCTCGTCTGCCAGTGACATTGGCTGACAGTGGCAGGAGCTGTGTGGCGCAACAACCAGAGTTGCTAACTACAATTGATTTTTGTTTGTAAACTTTTATGCAAGCAAATCTTCGCCAATCTCCAACCTCCAACCTCCAACCTCCAACCTCCAACCTCCAACCTTGTGCTCCACCTCCACAGACTCGACATGCACAGACGTTGCAAGTTTCCCTGCTTTGTTCAATTTTTCAGTATCAAGTTCACGTTGTAACTGCCACTTGAGTGAAGGACGGGTCCGCAGCATAAAAATGGCATCGCATCTCAAGAATCGATGAACTTAATTCAAGTTGTTGCACGCATCGATGGCGCACTTTAAGGGAAGTGCTTTATAAGGCGTGGACACGGGGAGATTGACTAAATTTAGTCTGGATATTTCAACTATGTCAAAGGGCAAAAGATAACAAAGGAGAAGGGCCCAAGCTACAGTTCCGCACTGGACCTTTAGTACACACTGCTGTTAAGGGTGTATTTAAACATTGGTATTATCCCAGTGCCGTTCTATGCGCTTCTCACAGATCGTAGGTAATGAGTCGCCTTTATTCGCTATTTGCTTTCTCTCTCTCTCTTTCCTTTTATTGTTTTCGTGCTTCCTCTTTCTTGCAATGCCTCTTGCATTCCTTATATCTCCTCATATAGTGATCAAATGAATACATACAATTGATCCAAGCTCCTTCAGATCCCAACTCAAATACGTAATATGTATTACAACTGTAAGGAATAGCTAAAACTTCCTTCAACTCGTTGTCCTTTCATCTGTTTTAGTTTTTGATTAAATATCACTTGTCTAGATTCCCTTACCATTTCCTTTTTATTCCCACTCATTAGACCTAATTATTCCCTTAATTTTCTTCTTGAAACTCCTCAACCCATTACACATTTTCTCTTTCCTCAAAAAGCTACCAAAAATGTATATGCTCATCCCACAAACCCTTTTTCTCCCCAAAAAGGCGAATGAAAAATGCATAGTCTGCTTTTGGGCGCCACATCTGTGCAGCAGCAGCAGAATGTGCGGCAGATGCAAGCACTTAACTGACGGAACTTCCGCTCTACTGCCAACAACTTCCGTTGTTGCAATAAAGTTGGACATTTTGGCCATTCTGGCGTGCCCATTCCGTTGGACCCACAGCCCACAGCCCATGCCTTGCACATCTCGGCCAGCCAGCCTCGGGGGCGCTAAGTATTTCCAGCATTTTGACTAAATTAAGTATCGGATCGTGAGCTGCTAAGCATTATCATTGGCATTCAAGCTAACGAAGTCGTTGTTTTTTCAGGGCTTTCAGCACGTTTGGAATTTAATGAGCGCGCTCGGAAAATCCCTGACCCTCTGCCACTCTCTCTTCCGCGACGCGACGCCACCTTGGTGATTTTCTCTTAATTGCAAGGGCCATAAAATGGTTCGCATCCTTCGGCAGTTGAAGCGCTGTTTTTTTTTGGTCTATGGGCTTTTTTGCTTCCACGTCGCTGTGTGCACATGAGACTGCATTAATTTCTTTTCCCAGACGTAGCTCTCTTTCTTCGCCACTCCCCCTCCCCCTCCCGATGACGATGGGGATGGGATGGCTGTTGGCCAAGTCATTGAGGTTGTTGCCACTCTTGTGGTTCTTGTTGCGGATCTGTTTTGCACGTTTCTGGCACTGCGTAGCGAAACTCTGTTCTGGCACTCGACCACAGAACATTTTTGTGTGATTTTAAGCCTTTTGTTAGAGGTGCAACTGGGTGGAAAGGACAGGGAATCCCAGAAAGCATTATGTTTTGGAATCGGCTAGGGTTTTAGTTCCCGAAATAGCAGTCAGTAGTCGAGAGTACTATATATAAATACTATATTTAAATATAAGAAATGCCTTAATTGTGCAACGATTGGTTTCCTCCTCCTGGAAACTCCAATATATTACATTACAACGTACATAGGTTACACGCTTTGGTTCCTAGATTCGACCTTGCTAATCTCCCAAAATCAGATTACTCATACGTACTGTTG